TAAGCCTATTGTGTGCTAAAAGCATTACATGGATTCTTATTGATAAAGACCACAAACATAAAATACAAATTATTATTTAACTTATAAATGAGAAATCTAAGGTATATATAGATTGTACAGCTTGTTTAAAACATTTAAGGTGGGTCTATCTAAAATCAATGCCTGCCATATTGAAAACATGTAATATTGTTCCCTTTAGAAAATAACATTTGTCAGAGTCCAAGTCATGCATGGTTCCATAAAGGGAAGCATTTAATTTCAGTACTGTTATGTCATCCTGAACACCAATACAGAGATGATTTTCACTGAATGTGACTGAAAAAGGTCATTGACCAGTGGAATGAACTGTAATCTAAAATAAAATAATACCATATTAGAACTCAAACAAGCTGATTCCAGCCTAGTTATTGCTACTGCTTAGCCAGAAACACTTTCTTGGGACTGTCATTCTATCTCTAACTCACTGTCTTTTACTGTGCAATGGGGCAACCTACCTACTCTGTCTCTCAGAGTCCTTGTAGCAACAAAATGAGTAAACATGCATAGTAATGCATGGACAGAATAGATATATGTAGGCCAATGATAACTAGAAGCACTTTCAAAAGTTGACATGGAAAACTAATATAAAGCTTCAGATAAAGAGGTCATTTAATAACAAGTCATTTTTCCAGATCACTGCACCTCCCTTAGCACTTTTTATTCTTTTTATACTATATCAAAAGAATGACTAAATGGTCATTTAACATGTTTCTAGGAAACCACATTTCTTTAATTTAGAAGTAGTAAGACTGATATGTGCCACATCTAGATAATATTCATCAGAAGGTCTAATAATTTCAATTAATTTTATGTAGTAAAGTCTACTAAGAGAATTTAGAAGGACAAATTCTTACAAAATGTATGTGACTTTCATTTTCAGTACTTCCTATTTTCATTTAGTATTTTCTCACGGGACTTACATACTTCTGCTTCTAATATGAACATTTGAAACACTAAGTACACTTTCAAGAGGATCATTTCGTATTTTGCCGAACTGAATTACATCTCTAGTTTCATTTCTGAGTTGGTATAATCAGTTTTGAGGGGAATTTAAATAGTGAGTAGCTGGGGGAAGGGGATTTACTTTGTTCCATAACCTAGCAACTTTCTGACCCACAGTGTGTTTTCTTTGGAGATATTTTGAGTGATTTATTTCTCTAGAAATATAGCTCACAAACCCATGAAGCACGTGGCCTGCCTTTGTTCCCTTTTGGGCAATGCTGTCTTCCTGCTCTGCCATGACATCACCATTTTCCCAGTATTTTAGTTCGTACGGCTCATCTCTTCCTTTTGCGGTGCCCCTTCCATCCCTGTGGTCCTAATGAGAGAGCCTTGTCCATTTCACAAATGAGAAATATGAGGCATATAGAGATTACGTCACTTGCCTAGGGGATTTAAACTGGGTGTGCCTAGTGCTAAAGCCCAAGAGTATGAGGGAGCCACGTTATCTGTCACTTCCAACCTTATCCAGGCTGCCCCTGTTAAGGACTTTATTACCTCAAAATTCAGCTAGTCTAGCCTCGTGTGGCTCTCTTCTAAGCCACTGCGCATCTTTTCATGGCCCTACACACAAATTCTCTCATATTGCCAGCCCTCTCCCCCAGCCCTAACTGGAATTTTTTTCTCTGTTACCTCTGATCATTTATACCAAGGATTCCCATCTTGACTGAATGTTAGAATTACCTTAGTAGCTCTTGAACCATGTAAATGCCTGGGCTTCACCTCAGATCAGTCAAATAAGATTTTCTTGGGAGTGGAATTCACTATTTTAAAGTACAACCAGGTTTGAGAGTGCCAAACTTAAATCTACACATTCTTTAAATATCTGTCTGAGTCCTGCTTTCTGAGCTATATCAGTCCACTTGGTTCTTATGATCCCCTGAATGACCACCTGATAGTTCCTTGTATTTCTATTAACATTCTTAATTTCTTCAGATGTTTTCATTCATGCATTTAGTGAGTACTTGAGTACTTACTGAATATCTTTTACTTGAAAAACCTTATCTTACACTTGTCATATATGTCATCTTCTCTCAACTAATTGAAACAACCTTAAAGACACAAGTTATATCTCATTTTTATTCCTCTAAGCAAAACATACCTAATGCAGTTATAAGCTCCTATTAGATCTCAATCAATACTTTTTGATGATAGCTCTAGTTTTTTATCTTATTCTTGTTAGCCACCCAGGTTTTCAGCAAACATTTTTTATTGAACTGCTAATTATGCAGAAGATACTTCAATAGATTTTTTTTCATTTTAAAGAATAATCTTCTTCTTGACTGACTACAAATACACTTGTTTGCCTCTTTCATGACTTTCTGTTCTAGTGATTTTTGGTCTTTTCTGTGTTGGACAATGCAACCTGATAATGGAAATTTATTAACTTTGTCTTATATGTCAGATATTCTTCTGAGTTCTTTGCATTTATTAATTCATTCAGTAGTCTAATCATGAGATAGTACCTTCACAGGCAGTGCCTTCTGAGAGGGGAAATAACTTTGTCCAAGGTAACCTGCACAGTACAGGGCAGAGGTGGGACGGCCCGGCCTCAGGGCCTACCAGTTTGCCCTCAGCAAAGAGACACTTTTCTAAAGAGACAGTTTTCAAGCAAGCAGATGTTTCTTCAACTCAGGGAACATAGCCATTGTTCCCTTAGATCTACTGGGTTACATGTGGTTTACTGACTTACTAGAAGAATTCTAAAATAATTATGAAGTAAAAATTGCTATCTCTAGTACTAAAAATTGGTTCTCATTCAATTGTCACTAACAGCACAAAAATGTTTTACAGAAAAAAAGATCTAAGAAATCTTAATATCCAAGAGGAGTTGCCTAGTTGTTTTAAAGTGCTGTCACTTTAGATTATTAAAGAACTTTTTGAATCTCTACAACTGTCCCCAGATGAGGTTTGCATTTTGAGGTGGTTGGAAACAAACTTCTCCCTTCTAACTTCACATTTCATGATTTTTTTTCAAAGAGAAAAAAAAAGCAAAGGTTTCAGTTACAAAATAAACAGTCTATAAATGTACATCCTGTCTAAAGAAGTAGAGAATATGAAACCAGATGATTCTCAAGATTGAAGGGCAAAAGGTTTGCAGCTATTTTACAAATACCTTTATCCTTCTAGACATTTTTCTTTCATCTCCCCTACAGTACTTTTCTCCCTCCCTTTTTCCCTCTTTCAACTTTGATTCATTTCTGAATCTCTTTGCAGCTGTAAACAAAGTTCTCTGAAAATGTATCTGAAGTAAAGCTATTACAGAGAAATTTCAAAATATTTTGAAAGCATTCTTTTCCTTTCTTCAGTTAGGAAATTAGGTGCTTCTTTCTTGGTGAGATGTTAATACCATTCAAAGCCCAGTATTACCTCAATGAACTTAGTATCATCTATTTACAAGGCACATTTAAGGCACAAATTAAGAGAAATTAGTTTTTGAAGTCTGATATTTAGGCAAAATTGAGAACTGAATCAACAGCAAAAGGAAAGAAGACAAGTAACATGAAAACTCTCAGACATGTGTATTAAAATATGCATCAGATAGGCATGAACCTTTTGACTGAATTGTCTGCAAGGTGCTAGATGTGTCTTCTGGGTCTAATCAATACTGCCCAGAAAATACTAAAACGGTAGATAGTGGCAAAAAAAAAAGTCAAGGTAGTTTCTTCTTGGATCCTAAGAACTGGCTATTTAGGAAACCTCTACCTAAATGGCAGTTGGCTTGTGGAAACTTGTCTTATCCAGAAACCCTCCCATGGTTTTATACACCAGACCTAAGAAAATAGATATTATTTACCAAGATGTCGATTACTAAGCCACAGGCAAGACAAGTATTCTGACCTTCCTGTATGTGCAGGAAGAGCACGGTTAGTGCCCCTGCTTCTGGGTGTGTGTGTCATCAGCATAATGAATAGGATTGTTATTTTTGCCTAAAATGAAAGATAAGTCCAAACCTGTCAGAAATAAATACTTCCACTTCACACATAAAAATGGGAATACAACTGAGAAATGGGAACTCTCAGCAAGAATGATATTCATGTATATTTTCTTCACAAACATCTGTTGGGCAGTTAATATGAGATTTGCTGGTAGGCTCTAAAATCAAGCTGCCTGGAGTTCCCCTACTCAGCACTGTGTACTGTTAACTGTAAGAGATTAATACACCTTTTGCAACATTGGCTTACTAATCTCTGGCAGAGTGAGATCGTAGTTGTATTTTATTTGTCCAGGGAAGTAATTAACTTTCAATAATTTAATGGAAATTTAGAACAACCTTGCTTGCCACAGTCAAGAGATGGAGAAAACTAGAAATAACCCCAGAATTGATCATCGTTTTCACTGGTAGATTCATATCGCAAAGAGGCACTAACATTGTCCTTTATCAACACTCACATTGCCAACTGCACACAAACTGTGAAGGAAATGTTGAGACTTGTGCTTTCCTTACAGACCCCTTTCGTCAATTTATCTCAACCGTTTTAATGCATGCTCTTCAAGATAAGGAAACACACCACATTACAGGGATACATACATACTCAGAATTAGTACAACAGCTTCTACCTGTCAATATAGCTCCTCAAACCGCAAAGAGCACCTCCCCCATACAGGGAAAACAACCGAATTATTTTGAGTAGTTCTCTCACACAATGGTTTCTTCTCTGTTGACAGCCCCTCAGCCTCTGCCTTGCACAGAAGGTCAGGGAAACTGAGCTGTATCATTGGATGCCTCCCACCTGTTGATTCCCGTCAGCCTTGCCAGTGACCCACACAAGAGGGCTCGCGAGTGCATGCAACAGTGCTTTGTGCATTTGGTCCACCAGGAGGCAGGTTACGGAGGTTTGGACTTCAATCCACATTTTAATCATTTCCAAGGAAGTATTTACCTAAGCAGACAGTATTTGTCAGTTTAAACCATGGCACTTGCCAAGATAAATTATACTTACTATTCAGCATGCTTTCCTTACCTCTGATGAAAGGAGTAAATGGCTCTCACACTCTCTAAAAATGCTCCCCTTCTTCAAATGGCATTCTTGATATTGATGATTAATTTAAAGATGAAAATAAACAAGATTTTAAAAAAATCCCGAAGTTCATGGCACTGTGATAGACTGAGTATAATTTTTGAAATCAGGATAAGCCCACTTTGGATTCCATTTAGGACCTGTGTGGCCTGAGGCAATTTACCTAATATCTCTGAGATTCAATTTCTTCACCAATAAAATAAGGAGAAGAAATACCTACTCATACATCTGGTGTGGGGTTTAAATGAGGTCAAATGTCAGGTATAATGTGAACATGCAGTAAATGCTAGCTCCCTTCTGTAGTGTGGGGAAAAAAAGTTCATGGGCTTTATCTTTGAGCAACTTTTCTATTATTCTTGAGGGAAATTAACAAATTAAAATTATAATATAAGGAAATGAAGTTCTGAGGCAATTTTTGGGCTCTTCACCTTCTGAAACAACACATCTGATGATCTCAGGATGATTAAACATCAATTTAAGAGGGAGGATTAATTCAAATTCAAACAACCACTTATGTTCTATTATTCAAGGTTTAGTGGTAAAATGAAAAAAGAAAGTTACAGACTAAATATAGTTATTGTCCTTTAAAGACCTGTTTTCCCTGATAGCATTATGGGCCTAAGATGTCTAAATGATTTCCCCAAAAAGAAGTGTCTAAAATGATTTCCCCAAGCTTGTGAAGAATCTAAAATCCATCACTACTACCCAACCAGAAACTAAGTTTTTTAACTTAAATTCTAAAAAATGTGAAAAGCATCCTTTAGCTGTTCCCAATCTCTTGTCAAAGAAGCAAGTTTAAACTGCAATCTGTGAAGATCTATAGCTAGATAAACTCACAAATTTATATCATAGTGGGGGCAATTGATACAGAGGCTCTAATCTTTAGTTCTAGCAGAGACTTCAAAGAATTAGAAAAGTCATACTTACCACAAAAACTAGTGGGTAACCATGGCTAACCAGCAGGCAGCTGTGGAATCAGAGATAACAAAGGCAAAGGGGTCATTTCTGTGTCTCATAAAGAGAAGGGTTGCCATTTGTTGCCACGTTCCCTTTATTGCCTGCTGCTGGGTGCTCTGCAGACGTGGCCCAAAGAGGAGGGCAGGTGGGACTTGACTCGAACTCTTGGATAACACATGGAGTGACAACTGGAAGGAGAGTCCAGATCCCTGGATGTCTTGCAACCAAGCTACCAAGGGTTGGGTAACTTTTTCTGTGCCCTTGACTTCAAATTAATAAATGAAACCTGCTCAGATATAACTGCCTGTCCTTTCCAAACTGACACGTGGACTCTGGAACAATTTTGAATCCTGATTCTGCCACTTTGCTGTGTGCCCTAGGGTAAGCTACTAAACTTTTTTATCTGTAAACTGGGCATTATATTTGTCCCCAGTGCATAGGGCTGTCAGGATGGTTAACCGAGTTAATATCTGTAAAGAACTGGGAACACTGTCTGGTGCACATGCAATTTTTCATAAAGTTTCTCAAGAATACCATACCTCCAATGTAACACCAAGATATTCAGAAAGATAATCTCAAGTTTATGCCAAAAATTAGTCTTTAACTAGGCCAGGAATCAACCAAGATTTTTAATTATTGAAATATTATTTTGCTTATTTTAATAAAAGTATGCATTAAATACCTAAATGCATATATAAATAACATGTTTAAATATATTTAAATATAAATCACATATACTATACACTATTTACTATTTATTTATCATGCTGACATATAAGTTCCCGCTTTTTAGTGTGACCAATATCAAGATCAGATCAAATGTATGTGTGTGAAAATAGAATGTTTTTGTATAGCTCATAACATTTCTATTCTATAATTGGTAAAGGTTATGACTGACTCTTGTCAACTTATCATCTATACTGCACTATCTTCAAGTAATAAAAAAACTGATTTTGGCAAGTTAGCTGTGCAAAGTAGAGTCATTGACTAAACAACCTATATATACAAAGACATAATCATGATGTGGTCCTAACTTGAAATAATCATATTTGTGGTCTTCAATTTTTTTCTTTTACATTTTGCTTTTGTGACAAGAGGTAGCTCCTTCATCCATGAAAAATATTATAAGAGGATTATTTATAATGAAACATAAGACATTGGGATTCTCAAAATTTATGTTAGAACTTTCAGTATCTCTTGAACATGTAAACTTAAAAATTCTTCACTCTTGTTTGCCACAGGAGCACAGAGCTGAGAAGTGGGTCCAGGTTTTCTCTGCTGTGAATGAGTATCATGTTTCTGTTGATGGACCTATAGGTGGATATTTGAACATACATATTTAAAGCATCATAGAGGTTTTGTTAATCACATCAATGATTATTTTACTCAAAACCATGCTGGCTTAAACCATATCTTTTAAATGATTTTTCATGTTTTACTCTTGAATTTACAAAATATTTCATTGAACAGACCACATATCTGATTTTTACAAAATAAGGCTATATGCCTCAAAATCAATTAGCTTTTCCTATAACTAATGCCCAAATTTACATAAGTGAAAAGCACTAACTATATTCTCATGCTGATGCTGAATGAAATTAATCAGCCCAGGGGTCTGATATATTTCCTACAGATTAGAGGGAGCATACTGCTCTGATTCATACTTTAAGTCAATTTTAGTTTCCTCTGGAGTGGGAGCCGAAACTGATGCATTTTTCTATTTCCCCAGAGTGTTTATTATATATTATATATAAATAAAAGTATGCTAACTCAAATGGGGAAAGTTGAGGGGACACATATGCAGCTCACTATAGAAGGTGCTGAACAGAAGAAATGTGTTTAAGTTATGATCATGCTATTTGAGATAAGGTACATCGTACTGAACATCTTCAATACAGAAAAGTAACAATCACATTTAGAAAAGTAATATTTTCTTATGTGGATATACAAATTCTCTCAAAAATCTGTTGTATCGTATTTCTATTTCCAATAAGAAGTGCTTCTTGGGAATTATGGTGACCCTCAACTTGGGTCGACACACTATTCCTTAAAACATACATACACACACACACACACACACACAATGAGCGTCTACCTATTTTCCTCTTGGTCTGGCATTCCTTGCATAAGCTGAAAATGGTTCTTTAGTTATCAAAGCAGTCTAATAATTGGATATTTTTTAAAACTTGAGGTAAAATCAAAGCCCTCAGATGGCATAATTTAGGTACCAACAATATGCTGGATTCACACTGCAGATGGTGGATCACTAATGGGTAACGCATACATGTTGTACATGTACAGATTTAGCCATATATGGGGATAGGAATTTTATGCCTAATTAGTCATTCACAGCTAAAGTCCATTACCAAACTTTTGTTTATAACCAAGCATAGGATACAATTTATAACCAAGCATAGGATTTTATAGTACAATGAAGAGCATAATAACTACTTCCTAAGACCTCCTAAAAATTTTTATACAAATGATATTTTCAATAATTAGAAAACTTGCAATAATCTAGAAGAAATTAGAACTACTGTAATGGTATTGAGATTGGAGAAAAATGGACAGTTTTGAGACATGTGATAGAATTGACATGTTTTGGTGATTCATTGGATATAGGAAAGAGGGAGAATCTGAATGATGACCATGTTTCATACTTGACTGCCTGGGTTCATAGTGGTGCTATTTATTGAGATCAGAAGCACAGGAAGTGAAACAGATTTGGAACTTGGAAGGAAGAAGACTGAAGTTGAGTGGAGTGTGGGATGTGTTTAAGGTGTGCATGGGACATCCAAATGAGGATAGATATCCAGGAAGCAAGATGTCATTGATGTGGGAAGGAGCTAGACTGGACGTATAGATTGGAAGTGTTGGAACACAGGTAATCATTGAAGCCATGAGGGGTATAAAATCACTCTAGAAGATAATGTACAGGGAAAAGCATGAAAAAGCATACATATCTTAAACTAGTCAAGAAGAGATGTTGCCTTACTGAAACTTTGAAATTTTAAAAATATGCACCATGATAGCATGAAGTGATGCTGTTTAACAACAGTGTAAAGCTGGCAAGGCTGTACATTAATTTTGCTTTCTAACCCCTTCAACATTCTTTTGTTACACAGTGTGGTTTCCTCAAGTTACCACACACATAACTCCCTGGGCTGTTGAGGCCAGCTGGTTTCACTTTATGCCACACAAACAAGCATGTGGCATCAGGTTATATCCTCCTAACTACACATCTTGTTATTTACCTATGTCTTAGAAAACATAGGCTTGCACAACCAACTAATTCACTTAGAATTATAAAAATCTTCTAATTTCTCATAGATAAAATTACCTATGGAAATAATTAGTATCATACATGTTTCACAATGACCTGTTTTTAAACTTCCTCTCTGAATGTTTTTCTATATCAGCTAACAAGAAAAGAAATGATTTTTGAGCTTTTGCCTTGTTTTTAACCTATGGTGAGTAAGACCTTTAAGAGAGTTCAAGAACTCATGAATCACAGGAGATTTATCTCTATTCTTTGCTGGTCCTATCAGTTACAAAGGATATTCTGCAATCATTAAACTCTACAATGAACTTTACCAAAACAGTAGGATTCCATGCATGCCTTATAAATTAAATGTTAAACTATACCAATTTGTCACAAGCAAAGTAATCTCAGGCTATATATATTATTATGCATAATTCTTTTTGTTTTGTTTTTAACATATACAAAACTACTCAGACATTCACATGCACACAACTGGGATATATCAGGTATCTTGAAATACAGTCTATATACAATATTATAGTGATTTAAGGTGTATAGCATAGTAGTTCAACAATTATATACATTAAAAATGCTCACTATAAGTGTAGTTACCATTTGCCAACATACAGATATTATAATATTATTGACTATATTCCCTATGCTGCACTTTCATCTCCTCTCTACTTTATTTTATAATTGGAATTTTGTACCTCTTTATCCCCTTCACCTATTTCACCCATTACCCCCACGCTCCTCCTTTCTGACAACCATGACTTTGTTCTCTGTGTTATGAGTCAATTTCTGTTTTGTTTATCATTTGATTATTTTAGACTCCACATATAAGTGAAATCATGTGACATTTTCTTTCTCTCTCTTACTTCACTCCACACAATATCTTCTAGTTCCATCTATTTTGTTGTAAATGGCAATATTTCATTCTTTTTAATGGCTGAGTAATATTCCATTGTATACAAGTACCAGAACATCTTTATCCATTCATGTATTGATGGACACAGGTTGCTTCCATATCTTTGTTATTGTACATAATGCTGCAACAAACATAGGACTGCATATCTTTTCAAATTAGTCATTTTATTTTTTGTGAGTAAATTTTAGTGTGATATAGTCCCACTTGTTTATTTTGCTTTTCTTTCTGTTGTTTTGGAAGACATATCAAGAAAAAAAGTGGTAAGGCTGATGTCCAAGAGTTTACTGCCTATGTTTTCTTTTAGAAGTTTTAGGGTTTCAGGTCACATATCTAGGTCTTTAATCAATTAAAGCTTATTTTTGTCTATGGTGTAAGATAATGGTCCACTTTCATTCCTTTGAATGCAGCTGTCTGGTTTTCCTAACACCATTTATTGAGGAGACTGTCTTCCTCCACTATATGTTCTTGCCTCCTTTGTCACAGCTTAATTGAATCATACACATGTGGGTTTATTTCTGGGCTCTCTATTCTGTTCCATTGATCTATTTGTCTATTTTTCTGCCAATACCATACTGTTTTGGTTACTACAACTTTATAATATTATTTGAAATCAGGGCTCATGATATTTTTCTTTCTCAATATTGCTTTGGGTATGTGGGGTCTTTTGTGGTTCCATACAAATTTAAGGATTATTTGTTCTAATTCTGTGAAAAATGTCATTGAAGTTTTCATGAGATTGCTTTGAATCTGTTCATTGCTTTGGGTAGTATGGCCAACTTAATAACATTAATTCTTCCTATCCATGAACATGGAATATATTTCCAATTATTTGTGTTGTTTTTGATTTCTTTCATCAATGTCTTATAGTTATCAGAGATCAGATTTTTCACCTCCTTGGTTAGATTTATTTCTAGGTATCTCGTTCTTTCTGATGCAATTTTAAATGGGATTGTTTTCTTAATTTCTCTTTCTGCTAGTTTGCTATTTGTATATAGAAACACAACAGATTTCTGTATATTGATTTTGTATCCTATGACTTTGCTGAATTTTTTTATTAATTCTAATTGAGTTGGTGGAATCTTTAGGGTTTTCTATGTATAGAAAACAGTGACAATTATACTTCCTCCTTACAAACTTGGATACCTTTTGCTTTCTTTTCCTTGTCTGATTGCTGTGGCTAGGACTGCCAGTACTATGATGAATAAAAGTGGTAAAAGTAGACATCTTTGTCTTGTTCCTGATCTTAGAAGTAAAACTTCTAGTTTTTCATCTTTGAGTAAGCTATTAGCTGTGTGATTGTCAAAAGTGGCCTTTATTATATTGAGGTATGTTCCCTCTATATCCATTTTGTTGAGGGTTTTATCATGAATGGATGTTGAATTTTGTCAAATGCTTGTCCTGTATCTATTGAGATGATCATATGGTTTGTATCCTTTTTATTAATGTGTTGCTTCATATTGATTTGCAAATATTGAACCATCCTTGCATCCCTAGAATAAATCCCACTTGCTCATGATAAATATGCTTTTAATGTATTTTTTAATTTGGTTTGCTAATATTTTTCAAGAATTTTTGCACACATATTCATAAGGACATTGGTCTATAACTTTCTTTTTTTATAGTGTCTGTCTGGTTTTATTGTCAGGGTGATGCTGTCCTTGTAAAATGAATTTGGAAGCTTTCCTTCCTCTTCAATTTTTGGAATAGCTTCAGAAGATAGATATTAAACTCTTCTTTAAATGCTTTATGGAATTCTCCTATGAAGAGAATTCTTTGGTATGCAATAAAAGCAGTTCTAAGAGGGAAGTTTATAATAATACAGCGTACCACAAGAAATGAGTACAATATCAAATAAACAATATAAAACCCAACATTCAAAGGAAAAGAAGAACAAAGCCCAAAGATAGTAAAAGGAAATAACAAAGGTCAGAGTGGAAATACATGAAATAGAGACTAAAAAAGCAATTTGAAAGGTCAGTGAAAGTAAGAGCTGCTTCTTTGAAAGGATAAACAAATTGATAAATATTTAACTACACTCATCAAGAAAAAATATAGTGGACTCAAATAAATAGAATCAGAAATGAAAGAGAAGTTACAACTGAAACCACCAAAATGAAAAAAGATTCTAAGGGATTTGTATGAAAAATTCTATGCCAAAAAATGGGACAACATAAAAAAAATGGATAAATTCCTAGAAACATGCTTTCTTCCAAGACTGAACTTAGAAGAAATAGAAAATTTGAACAAATTACTAGGAAAAAATTAAATGAGTAATCAAAAAGTTCCAACAAACAAAAGTCTGGGACAAGATAGCTTATTATATGTAATCCTTAAACTATATTCTGAGACATTTAGCATTATAATAGTTGCTATATACCATTATGAGATTAGTCCATTTTCTTTTAATAAAATTTTTTAACAGTTCAATAAATCTGAGCTGTTTCATAATACCTAATTCCTCAACCACTCCTGTCCTTTGTGACTGAAGGCAAAATTTCAAGTTCATTTTTTTTTAAGTTACCCTCTTAAGCCTGGTGGCCTTATGAAAAATACCTAATTCCTTGTTAGTTTCACATACATAGAATTGATTTTCATTTATGTTTTTAAATATTGTAAAGTTCCACATTGGATGAATGATTGACTCCTCCTCAGATACAATATCACTAAGTTCTATGATTTAAGATATGTCTGTCACAACATCAGATTGTTTCTGAAGAAAGACTGTAATGAGGACATAATATTCACTAGGGTGGTATGAATATAATACACTTCTATGATCTTCAGTATCACAACATATGTCTCACTTCCTCTGGATTTAAAGAGAAACCAAACGGCATGTACTTTCATAATATTTAAGGCAGGAACTGACTGAAAGTTTTAGATTACTGCAGGTTTAAGAAACTGTGTAAGGTCAGATACTTTTGAAATGCTTTCCTGGCTGTGTTTCCAATAAAGTATAAAGCCAGGTTGAAAACTTCAGGAATTATCATTTTTAAAATAGAATAATATTCAGACTCAGAAAAATAGCAGGGAAACTAATACCTGAGTTTGATCCACAAGACTCAAATTGTTTCTTCATGACTGAGTGAATCTTTTTGCCTAGAACAAAAACAACATAAAAACACATTACCTATGCTCCATATACTCCAACTGGTATGACTTGTTTTCATTAGTAACCTTTCTGTAATAGAATGAGGACTGGATAAACAATAATGATGACTGTGATTATATCTGATGATACAGTATTTCTCTTTATTATATTCAGTCCAAATTAAAGGAAATGTTTTCTCTGTCATATGTGTAAAAGAATAAAAATTATTTAATATCTTTACTTTCTGTTTTACTCTAATTTTGAACAGTGATGGGCTGATCTGTCAAAATGTTCAACCTCTACATGATTTAGCTAGACTCACCAAGAAAAAAAGCACTAAAATGAAATCAGAAATGAAAGAGAAGACATTACAGCTTATACCACAGAAATACAAAGTGTCATAAGAACTACTACAAACAATCATACACCAACAACTGGGGAATCTAGAAGTAGATAAATTCCTAGAACCATACAACCTTCCAAGACTGAATGATGACGAAACAGAAAATCTGAGCAGACTGATTACTAGCAATGAAATTGAATCAGTAAACAAAAACATATCAACAAACAAAATTCAAGGACCAGATTCCCAAATGAAGTCTATCAAACATTCAAAGAAGAATTAATACAAATATTTCTCAAATTATTCCAGAAAATAGAAGAGGGAGAAATAATTCCAAATTCCTTTTATCCTGATACCAAAACTAGATAAGTACACCACAAGAGAAGAAAATTATCTCTGATGAACATGTATGCAAAAATCCTATACAAAATATTAGCAAACCAAATTGCAAAATACATTCAAAGGATCATTCACCGTGACTAAATAAGATTTATTCCAAGAATGCAAGTATGGCTCAACATCTGCACATCAATCAAGGATAAATATTATGCGATCATCTCAATAGGTACAGATAAAGCATTTGACAAAATTCAACATCAATTTATGATAAAAACCCTCAAAAAACTGGTAAAAATGGAACACATCTCAGCATAATAGCATAATAAAGACCATATGTGACAAGCCTACAGGTAACATCATAGTCAATGATGAAAAGCTAAAAAGCTTTTCTTCTAGTATCAGGAACAAGACAAGAATGTTCATTCTCATCACTTTTATTCAACATAGTACTAGAAGTTCTAAACAGAGCAATTAGTCAAGAAAAAGAAATGGAAAGGAAAAGTAAAACTCTCACTATTTACAAATGACATGATACTGTATATAGAAAACCCTAAAGACTCCACCTAAAAACTCTTAGAATAAATGAATCCTAAAAAATGAATTCAGTAAAGTTGCAAGATACAAAATCAATATACAGAAATATATTATATTTCTAAATACTAATAACGAACTAGGAGAAAGAAAAATCAAGAAAACAATCCTTTTTACAATTGCATCAAAAAGAATAAAATAGAAATAAATTTAATCAAGGTGAAATACTTGCACACTGAAAACTATAAGACATTGATGAAAAAAATGAAGACATAAATAAAACATATCTGTGTTCATGGATTAGGAGAATTAATATAATTAAAATGTCCCCACATTATCCAAAGCAATCTATAGATTCAATGAAAACTCTTTTAAAATTCCAGTGGCATTTTTCACAAAAATATAACAATCCTAAAATTTATATGGAACCACAGAAGACCCAGAACAGCCAAAGTAATCTTGAGAAAGAGGAGCAAAGCTGGAGGCATCATGTGCCCTGATTTCAAACTATATTACAAAGCTATGGTAATCAAAGCACTATGGTACTGGCACAAAAATATATAAAAAGATCAATGGAACAGAATAGAGAGCCCAGAAATAAACCCACATATATATGGTCATTTAATTTACAACAAAGCAGCTAAGAATATACAATGGGGAGAGGACAATCTCTTCAATAGATGGTGCTGGGAAAACTAGAGAGCCACATTCAAAAGAATGAAAGTAGACCCTATCTTATACCATACACAAAAATCAACTGAAATTGGTTTAAAGACTTGAATATAAGACCTGAAACACTAAAACTCCTAAAAATAAAGATAGACAATAAGCTTCTTGACATAGGTCTTGGCAATGATATTTTTTTTGGATTTGACACCAAAAGTAAAGAAAGCAAAAGCAAAAATAAGAGGGACTAAATCAAACTGAAATGTTTCTGCACAGCAAAAGGAGTCATCAAGAAAACAAAAAGGCAGCCTACTGTAAGGGAGGAAATACTTGCAAATCATATATCTGATAAGGAGTTAATATCTAAGATATATGAAGAACTCATACAATTTAAAAAAATCTGAGTTTAAAAATAGCAGAGGATCTGAACAGATATTTTTCCAAAAAAGACATACAGAAGGTCAACAGGTACCTGAAAAGATGCTCAACATGACTAATTCTCAGTGAACTGCAAATCAAAACCACAATGAACTATCACCTCATATCTGTTAGAATGGCTTTTATCAAACAGACAAGAGATAACAAGTGCTGGTGAGGATTTAGAGAAAAGGGAACCTTTTTGCACAGTTGGTGGGAAGTAAATTGGTGCTAACACTATGAAAAAGAGTATGGCGGTTCCTCAGAAATTTAAAAATAGAATTACCATATGATCCAACAAGTCTACTTCTGGGTGCCTATCCAAAGAAAATAAAAACACAGATTTGAGAAGAAAAATGCACCCCATGTTCACTGGTGATAGCCAAGATATGGAAACAACCTAAGTGTCCACTGGCAGGTGAATGGACAAAGATATTGTAATATATGTACATCAGTACATACACACACACACACACATACACACACACACACACACACACAGGTATAGACAATGGAGCATTATTCAGCTATAAAAAAGGAAATCTTGCCATTTGTGAGATGTGTGGGTCTTCAAAGGATTAAGCTAAGTGAAACAAGTCAGAGAAATACAAATATCATATGAACTCTTATATGTGGAATCTAAGAAAAAAAACAGGAAAGAAAAAATAAGTTTATTGGAGAACGAATTGGTGGTAGCCAGAGATGGGGGTGAGAGGTGAGCAAAATGTGTGAAGGTGGTCAAATGCTACAAACTTCCAGTTATAAGATAAATGAGTCATTGGGATATAATGTACAGCATGGTGACTATAGTTAATAATATTATATTGCATATTTAACAGTTGCTAAGAGAGTAGATCTTAAAGTTCTCATCATAGGAAAAAAAATTCTGCAACTACATGTGATGATGGATGTCCACTAGACTTATTGTGGGGACCACTTTGCAATATATGCAAATATCAAATAATTATGTGCATATATGGAACTAATATAGTGCTGTATACCAATTATATCTTAATAAAAAAAAGAGGGATTTGGTTCACAAATTAAGATGTAACAGTAAAATGAATGCTAAATATCCATTAAAATATAAAAAAGAGAACTATATAACTTTATGTGAAAAGAAATTCCTACCACATCATAGGGTAAAAGATACAAACTTCAAAAAACTTAGCCAAATATGCAATTGCATCACATATCAATGATAATTTAGCTTACACCTGCCAGTCACTGAGCTACACAACAAATGCTGCACATGCAAGTGCGCACATGTGCACACATCACATATTCACATATGTATGTGTGCCCACGCATCAGATTTTTATTACCTTTGTGGAGTGGGATATTGGAGCAAAGGGTTGGGTAGAGGGAGAGGGTTTTTCAAGAAGGATAGTTCAAGAAGGATAAGGTTCCCTTACTATTACAAAGATCAGTATTTTCTTGAATTATTTTTATTATGGACATGTATTTGCTTAATTATCAGGGGAAAACAATCAGAATGCTTCATTTTGAAAGAGACATAGGAATATATGATGTGTATTAATTCTCCATTTATTATATTAAAAAAATTAACTACACTTCCTGTGTGTGTGTTGCTTTTTCAAGTATGGCACCTTGTTTATATTTGTATACCATGTAGTTTTTTCACATGACTAATTATTAACAAATGCTGACTCAACTGAATGACAAGTGACCGATATTAGAAAGTCTGAGGAATGATAAAGTTTGTTGATTGGATCTAGTTCCCATTACATTAAGAAAGTAATGCTATAAAAGTTTCCAATTTTTTTAAATGTGTATTTCTCCATAATATTCCCATTTCAAATAATAACCAAAAGTACAATTTTAGTTTTGTGAGTAATGTAACTCTGTGGACATTAAATGTTTCAACACATAAACATAGCTTTTAGTCTGTTCCCTTTGGCAAATTTACAAACTACATGTTATAAACAAACATATATGCACATGCATATTTCGGGTATCTTTAACATACATATTCTGAAACTGGTATATTCTGAGATTATTTAGAAAAATCGTTTGTCTTCCAAGAATGCCTCCAGCAAACGGTACCTTCCACCATCACTCCCACCATCCTGTTTTAGGATACACTTGGGCTCACAAACATGTAATTAAAATGCTTTGTCAGATAATAAAATGCCTTGGTCTAGGGGAAGACTTATTCACCCAGATTGAAAATGTGGGGAATGACATAAGGGGGTCTTAAATTCAATTTTAAAATTCACGAAAGGTCACTGCCACAAGAAATATTTATAACCAAAGGCTTGACTTTTTGCTTTTCTCTATCACTATCTTTTGTACCAGTTGTGTTATGAAATATGACATCAACTCTAAAGAAGATCATTCAGTCAAACAAAATCAAATAACCTGAAAAGTTTTCACTTCTGTGGGGTGGAGAATCACCCTCCAACTGTCAGGCAGCCATGTTTCTGGGATTCTCTAGATCAAGGCCTTCAATGTCTTTTGGAAAAAAAAATCTAAAGCTAAATAGTATTATACTAAAGTCACAAACAGAAATATGTGGACTTGAAAATCACAAATACAGCACATTGAAGGACCCATTATTTGACACCAATTCACCCACCTGAAAATAATGCCATTATTGTGGAAGTGTGTGTTAAACAACACAGTAAGTTTCCTTTGTAAATTTCTGAACTGTTTTCCAGGTATACACTGCTAAAATGATTTTGACTGAGC